GAAGTAAAAATAAGATTATAAAATAAAAAAGTGCACTGTGTTAGAAAAATAATATTTTTGGCTTTCCTTTTCAGAGGGAAGTTCTGGTTTTAAGAAGAAACGCGATGTAAGAATTATTGTGTTGTAATTTATGTTGGAAAAACACTGCTAGAAGTTCGTTAATACCCAGTTATATCAGTTGTTGCAATAGTATTGTGGGATGTTTTAAACATGAAATTGCCTTACAAATGGGTTTTTACAGAGGTTCGTGCTGAATTTCCAAGAACATGGGGCAGCTGTACTCATTATACTTTCAAATCCATGAGTGAAGAGGCTTTTTTGTGCCTCTTTTTTCTGTACATGTTGGGAAAATCTCCAGCCTTGTAACTTTAATTGTTTATTGGTATTACACAGCTGAGAGAAGCAGAAGTACAGTGTTCTTCTAGTGTTGATTGGCATGCAGATCTGTCTAATAGAGATGTGCCAGAAGGAGCCTGACATAAGATTCATTGCCAGTGTAGTGGTGAAGAGGAGCAGCAGTGCTGAACAGAACCAGGACAAGTCCCTTACTAGGCATTCCTTGCAAAAAAGATTGTGAGAAAAGGATATGCAGTGATGTTTTTCAGTGTGTCTTTTGGTGCTTTGACTAATGAAGTTCCTTTGGGTCTTACTGCAAATGCTTGCAGGTTTGGTCAGTGGAGGCGTTGCAAGTCTTATCTGTCTGTGCCAGCATTTCTGAATACAGGCCTGAAGCTGAAGGAAAAGTTCTATAGTGAGCGTGGATCTCCCAGGGAGCTAATTTGGGTCTGAATTCCTTGTTGCAAGGGATTATTACTGCTTCATGTGCTAGTGGTGTGGAGGTCTAAGCAGGTTACTTTACTTCTGCATGCTGATGCATTCAGTTGATTCTTTTTCCATGAAAAAAGAAAAAACAAAATTCCTGCTGTGTTCTGAGAAAGTTGGGGTCTGCAGTTTGCTTGATATCAAAAAAGTCAGAAAAGACTTTTGTTTGTGAAAGAAATAGATACTAGCCTATCAAGGACAATGCTAGTAAGACATAATTAAAATCTAGCTCATATATTTGTTTTAGTAAGGTTTTTTGCAAAAGTGTGTTTATGCCAACTCAGATTATTGATTGCCATTATTTCGATGGCAGAATAATTTTCTAAATGTTCCTTTAACTGAACCATGTACTGTGCATCAATTTCCATTCTGTTAAATTCCATCAAACGATACAGATGCTTGTCATGTCAGTTTAAGAGTAATTTTAGATTTCTTTATAAATGGAATTTTACATAAAAAAAGGAAAATCGTTCTTATTTGCTCATTTCAGTCACCGAAAAGTCCAGAAAAATATTGTGTTCTCCAATAAATGTGGTAATAAAAATTTCCCTTCAGTGTTTTCATCTGACAGGTTACATAATTTGAGTCATGAAAAGGATGAGATGCTGAGAACTTAATCAGTTGATCAAATTCAAGACAGAAAAAAAAAATACAACCTACAAACAAACAGCTTTAATAAGACTAAATTATATTTTGGGCATTTTACTTTTAATCCAAGGTACTGGTAATATAGTAATCTTTTAAAATACCTGACAAGATTTAGGACTTGGAGTCCTAATATAATGATCGTTTCTCCGAAGTATAATTTAAAAATATACATAACAAATCCCCATTTTACTAAGGATTTACAAAATTACCTGTCTCATCACATAGTTCTGTATTTCTTTCACGTTAGTGTAGAATGTAGCAAGTACTGGAACTAACTGAAGATATTTAACAGAATTTGATGTGATATTTCCTAATTTAATGCTGATGAACTTCAATACCAGACTACATCCAAATGATGTGGGAACATAGAATAGCATTTTATATGGTGAAGTGCTCAAGTTCTTTCTCTGATGAGGAAAAAGAAAGCCTGTTCAGTGGTTTGTGTTTAGCTAATCAGTGCTGGTGAGTAACTCTTTCTCCCTGTTCAGACTTCACACAGGAGCATTCATATCTATAGCTGGCTCAAGCTGAGTAGTTTATTAGTCTTCTGTGCAGGTTTGTTCTGGATCAAAGAGTGGCTTCACTGACTGCATTCTGGGAGTGCTGAGCACGGAGCAGTAGACTCCTTGCACAAACCTGCTGGCTTCACACTTCAAACATTTCTACCTGAGGGTAGTATCTCTTGAGAAAGGACGTCTTAATTGCTTTAGTACCAGCTCCTTTAATACAGAGAAAAGTTGTTAAATCTGACAGTAGGAGAGTGCCTTTAGCTTTCTGTTGTGTCTGGGAGGACTGTCCTCCATCCTTGGTGCAGTCTGGCTAGCCATAATATATTGAGTTAGGAAAGCAGTCCTGTTAGAGCCATGCACCAGCCTGCTGAGCATGCCTCCCCCATTTTCTCAAGCCCTGCAAATGTTGCAGTCTACACAGTGATATTTCTGTGCATAACATGTTTCATGGAAGGTTAATGAAAGGGAAATTATTATGGTACTGTGCTAGAAGTATCAATCCCAGTTTATTCTGAAGTGTAGCAGTGCAATGTTTAGTGCATGACAGGACAGAGTGATGCAATTTTTGTTGGAATTGACTCATCTGTGAGAGCTCCAGATAAATCATATTGCTGCTCTGCAAGTTACTCTATGTAAAATAATTAAAACAGGTATGACCTTTTAAAACATTTCAGTAAATACTGATGGATGGCTTATGTCTTTTTGACTGAAAATCTCTTTTTGTTATTACAGTTAGAGAAGGATTTCAGACTTAAGAGACAAATACTGATGTTGTTGCACATGTGCAGCTGTTTCATTTTAGTGTAATCCCTGAACTTACTGCTAATTACTGGAACTGAGAAGCTGCTTTCTAATTTGCATCAGCAGAACAAAGGGGAAAAAAAAGTTTGAAATGTGACAAAAAGTAATATTTGAAGTACCAGATGCTGTGGCTTATAGTCCCAAAGCTCCATTAGGACTGCTTAAATGCTTCACCTTAATGTATTAAGTTTGCATTTTGGTTCTACCAGTTCTCAGTCAGAACTAAGAGCCACTGAATCATGTATGAGCTAGAAGAGTGTGTAGTCCTTTGAAGACTGCAATGCAAAAGACAGAACAGATGAAAAGAGGCCCACACAGACATTCATTTAGCCCAGATATGCAGGATAGAGTATTAGGATTTCTTTCTTGTGTAAAAAACTTTTTCCTTATTCTGCTGTTCTCTGTATAGCTCATACACTGAATTTTTTTTTTTTTGGAAGAACTGATATCAGTCAAAGCAAAGCCTGGTGCTAGTCCCACTGCATGTTAGAAGGAAGGTTTATACGACCCTGAACCCTTCAGTGACAGTAGTGAACATCAAGCAGATCGCAAGCCAAGTAGGTTCTACTATGCTTAAAAAAAATTGGGCTGACTGCCAGAGCTAGAGTTGCTGAGAGGAGGCAGTAACAGAAGGGAAAGTGAGAAGACAGTGACCGGAGTCTAGGGAATCAGTGAAAAGTGGTTACAACTGAGTTCAGTGGGCAGCTGGAGTGAACTTCAACTTCCAAATCCTTGGAAATTATTGGAAAAAGTAATTGTCCTGTTGGCTAGGAGGCATCCTATCACCAATAGGACTTCTGATGGCAGAGGTTTTATTTCTGGTGCTGTGAAGTCTCATCTTGATAAGCTGTGGGCTGGGTTCCAGAGGCTCAACATCTTTCCTTTGGGTCTGGCACAGAAGCAGCCGCGAGGTGCTTGACCTCTCAGTGACTGTGTGAACAGTACCTTGCAGTTCTCCACTGCATGGGATTTTGTCAGGACATGATGCAGTTTTCTACTATGGACCAGATAGATGTTGCAGCAAGTCTGTAAGCAAAAGCTGTAAGGTCTCATGTTTTTTGTAGTAATTTCTGATTCTCATCAGTTAGCAGTTCTTGATTAAACTTGTGTATGCCTTACAGAAGCCTTCTTTGGAACTTTCATGAAGCTTAGCACATAATCTAAATCCCTTTTAAGACTATTAATTGTGCAGATGGCTTTGCACACACTAGTTTTATCCCATGTGATTAGTGAAGAATTTATTGAAATACATTCCTCCCCAAAATCTTATAGTTACCTTTTGTATGGCAGCTGCACGCAAGTCTGTCTGTCTTTAAATGACTGTATTTAAGAAAAACACGTATTCAAATGCAGGCATTTTTGTTTCTGTACATACACATTTGAAACAGTAGGCTTTTAAAATGGATTTGGCATTTCAAATATTTCAGATAGTTTCTTAGAAACAGGAAATAATTAAAAATATCTAAAGCATCAGACTTATAAGAGATGAGCATCTCTCTTTTCAGATTATGACTGTGATTATATATTCCAGGATGAAGAGTAACAAGAAAATAAGTCACCATTGCTTTTGAACTACTAGGTGCATCCTCTCTATCAAAATTTTAATTGCTGTATGACTTTCTGAAATGGTCTGAAAAACTTAATTTACTTTGGTTAAAATATACTTTTAATAAATTCAAGTAAAGCTATTAAGTCAGGAAGTAAGGGATTTGGGTTCCTACATTTTATGTAAAGTGCGTACGTACCCTTTTATGCCTAATAAGAAGAATCTTGTTGTGATATCAAAGTATGAGCAGTTAGCCTGTCAGTGCTTAAGAACTAAACCAAAACAAAACCCTTAACAAGTGAACAAAATGTATTTTGCAAAATATTTTAGACCAAGTAGTGGTGGACTTATTCCCTATAATTTGAAAGTGGCTTAAATTCCCTTCTTGTTTTCTTGCCAAATCATTGAGATATGCAAAAATGGGTAAAACAAAGCACACAATTTCAAAATTCAGTTTCTTCTGCATAATAATATAATATCCTTCTTAATTTCTTTTTCCACAGATACTCTCAGTAGAGCAAGTGTTCAGAAACACAAGTCCTTACTCTTGGACCCATCAGGCACCATCTTCAGTCTTTTTGTTCAGTATTTTTTCCCAAGCAGAGGGAGAATCTACTTCAGTGTGCATCTGTTTCACCTGAACGTCATCTCCTTGCTTTTGTTTCAATTTACAAATGCCTAAGAACAGCAAGGTAGTGAAAAGAGATCTAGATGATGAGGTCATTGAGTCAGTTAAGGACCTGCTCTCTAATGAGGACTCTTCAGATGATGCCTTCAAGAAGAGTGAACTTATGGTTGATGATCCAGAAGAAAAAGATGTAGATGTTGAAGAAGGCTCAGATGTAGAAGATGAGAGACCCGCTTGGAACAGCAAACTCCAGTATATTCTGGCACAAGTTGGATTTTCTGTGGGATTGGGGAATGTGTGGCGATTCCCCTATCTGTGTCAGAAGAATGGTGGAGGTAAGTTTTGTGATACAGCTCATTGTACCTAGATGATGATGCTAACATTTCATATTTCAAAGTTAGCAGAGAGCCACAGTCAAACCTGCTCCAACACATCAGGTTTTTCTTTTAAGTTTTGCCAGAGCCTACCAAGAAAAACCCACATTCTCTTTATTTAGAAAGATGCATTTGTTAAAGTAGCAGATTCTTCCAAGATGCCATTTCCTCATTTTAGGGTAGAAAGCTCTTGATACAACCTTAGCTACTGCTCAAACCAGTGGCTGCCCATAACACATAATTATGGAAGGTTGCATTGTTTAGGACTTGGTGCTTAAGTGTCCTTTGTAGTAATTTGACAATAAATCAAGGCATAAAAATTACATCCACTTTTAAACACCAAAGCAGCATTTGATCTTTTAGTATTTAGTGATACTAAGTTTCATACCTTTACTTTCTGATTGCTTTTAACTCTTGGCCATTTGATCATGATTTACTTCTGGCAAGAACTTCAGAATACTCTGGGAGGGAAAAAGTAGGGATTTTGGGTTTGTTTTTTTGGGTTTTTTTACTGATGATAAATAATTTAAATCATTCCATTAAGGGACTGCATCTGTTTTTGTGCTGTTAGACAGTTTACTATTTTCGTGAATAACAAGGTACCTTTCACTTGTAACAATGACAGCAAGCTGTTTATTAGTTGACCATCCGTGGTCAATCCACTTTGAAGTATGAGGCTGGAAACTTTCCTTCCTCTATGTATGCAGGATTAGTACTTCATCCAATGCTATACCATACCCAAATATACCACATTAATGCACACGCTATTGCGGCTAATTACTAAGCTGAATTCAAAACCTGTCACTTTTTATGATACAGAAAGTGAATGTGTACAGAAAATGAAGAATAGCATTCTACGCCTGCTGCTTTTTTAAAAGCTGAATGTTACAACTGATGTAATTGAGGAGTATAGAAATGAGCTTAGAATATGATAAAAGTGTAATTCTTTATTTGTTTTCTCTCAATTCAAGTACTAAAAATTAAGTTTATTGTTTTAAATATTCTATCTTCAGGATAAAGTTAAATTCTTTTATATCTAGTTACTTTTTTTTTTTTTTGCTATCATTTACGTTTCTTTTCTTCTCTTATTCTGGAGAGAAAGTCATTAAATGATTGATTTAAACTATGGTGTCAAAACGTAGTCTCAGGGACAATGGACTACAGCACTTTATTTTGTGTAGTTGTGTCCCTTTGAAAGTCTGTGTCTAATGTAGTTAGGAATTTTGCAAGCCACTTGCTTTAATTCTGGTCAAATATAAATTAGTTAATAATTTCACATTTCAGAAAAAACAACCCCAAACCCACTAAAACAGTAAACCAGCCAATCTTCAAGGATTATGACACTTTATTAATGAAATTTGAAAAAGTAACTATGGTGTCACTTAAGATTGTAGTTAAGTGTTTTCTCCTGTGCTGTGATTGCAGGAAATCGGATGCATAGCATAGTCTGTGGAGATACAATGTTTTCTGCACATGCTGAGACAAGCGTGTATTTGGCTTTTAACAATAATTTTGCACCATTTTAGCAAATGGCAGCCTTCTGAGCAACAGAGAAAAGGAATTAGAGCTGAAGCTTGCTTGGTTTTCGAGTTAATCATAATGCAAGATGGAGAAGGTGACACAAAACTTGGAAATATGTAAAGTACATTGGTGCCTGTATGTGTGTGCAGATGGACAGATAATTGTCACAAGGGCATAGAAGAATAGGGGGAGGGAATGAAAACTGCAAGCACATGGTAAGAAAACCTACACATATTTTGTATGAGGTTCTGTTTTCTGCTACACATACTATTTCAAGTAAGTTTTCTAGGCAAAATTAGAGGGAGTTTTATGTAACCCATGTGAATATCAGTATATCAGAACTGTTCTGTAGTCTTCTGCTGATAGAGCTTTACTGTAAATACCTGTTAAAGTCTCTTGGTATAAGGTAAACTTTCCTAGTCTCTACTTTCAGTGTAGACCTTCATTTTCTTCCCTGTGTTTAAGGAACTTATATCTGGAAAATACCATGTGAGGGGTGGGAATTATATTTAAAAAGTAGTAAACCAATAGATCCAGTTCCAATTTAAACCAAAAAGAAGTAAAAACCATAGTTACTCATTAGTTTCCTTCACAGCCTTCAACAACACTAAAGTCACCAGTAAAAGAAAAGGCAAATCCTAACTGTGAAATCGAATTTTTATCTTTTTTTTAAACTTCTGTGAGAAGAACAGCAAAATAAACATAGATAAGATACAGCAAGGTTAGCCCAAATGTTATTCATTAATTTTGTGGAAAAAAATTGTATGTTTCCCACCCTGTTTTCAGTAGAGATTTAGGTTGTTTATGGCTGTGGTCTATGGTATAATGACACTGCTAACTTCAGAGCTCTCTACTGCTTCAATGAGATACCTGTGATACCATCTTTACAAGTAACTTGAGTAGCACTACACTGCAGTGAGAATTTGGATGTCTGTAGATATGTTTGCAATCTCTGTTTCTGGGTCTGGTCTGTTTTACCAAACCAACTTCCTTCAATTTATTTCTTGTGATTATTTAATACTTATTCCCATTGCTTTAATTCATAGCAGCTCATAAATGTATAGAGTAATACCTGGTATTTTTTATAGCTAACTAAGTTACAACTAGACTAGGTAGCTCTTTGCTGACTTTCACACTTGTCTTATTCCCAGAAAAATGTTTGTTGGAAGAAGTGAGAGAAAAGGCTGGTATACAGCTGGGATATACTTGGGTCCACACTGGGGATGTGGCTGTAATGCTGAATGTATGGAGTAGAAAAAAGAGTCTGGGAGCAGCTAAGAGCACTCCAGGGTGCTGGTTTTCTTGACTTTGAGAGGGAGGGCACAAAGGACTTTTAGGCTCTGTGAAACAGAGGCTGAAGATGTTTAGTGAAGTTTTGAGAACTGACTATGGATCTTTCTGTCCTCACCACCTCACCCTTCTTACCCCTAGCAGACAATGCCCAGACTCCATCTGGCATTTAGGGCACCTCTTCTACTCTTTGCAGACTAACTGATTAAAAAAGCTGTTTCATCCTTGATTCTTGATAAAGACAATTTGTGCTTGAGCTGAGTGTGCTCAATTTCATTTTTACACTGTAGGATTTGTTTATTCTTCCTTTACTCCATGAAGGTGAATGTGTGTTTTGTTCAGATAAGCACAGTTCCTATATAACAATTTCATTACATCTGTAAGCATAACATAGGTTCAGAGCTGCCTCAGCTTCCTGTGTTTGATAGCCTTAAAAATGAGCTGCTCAGGTCGGCCCAGTCTTGCCAAGATGCTCATAAATAGTGACAAACTAGATTTATAATTTCCTGCTGCTCCTGTCATCTGGAGGACAGATTGCACACCTTTCACTATTTTCAAATAGAGAAAATATTTAAAGTTTATTCTGTTTGGTTGTCATTTCCCTTTAGGATTAGCAGAAGTATAATGATGCTGTTACATAATTAGAAGTAACAAAAGCAAAATAAATTAGCTATTTTGCTAAAATGACTAAGTGTTAACTTTGAAGAAAACGGAGAAGTCTCCAAGGTACTACATGTCCAAAGATTTTGTGTTGCATTTTTGTGAGCATTAACTTAATTTTTCTGATTTTTTTTTTAAGGTAAGTATTTTTTAATATCTCTGTGATGGAAAAAGAACTAAACAATTATAGATAAAAGCTGTAAGCAAAATAGGAAAAATTGTAGCACATGATGCTGTCATTATGTTTTGAAAAGATCGACCTAGGTAAGAGTCACATTGTGAGTTTTTACAGTTAATTAGTCTGAATTTTTTACTGAAACACCAACAGATTGACATTAAAGTTTTGTGGTCCAATGAAAAAGCACGACAGTTGTACTTTTTCCTCCACAGTGTTCTTAGAAGCAAACAATATCATCTCTCTAATACAAGAAAAATTGGGAGCAAAGCAAATATTCCCTTGTACTCCAAAACTCGAGTATGGATTCAGAGGCTTTATTATGTCGTTTTGGATCAGTAATTTATATTCAGTGCCTTGAGTTCACTGATGGCTACAGTATAATTTTTTGAGTTCAGTATTATTAGACTCAAAATTTAGTTGTACTTTAGTGTACTGAAAATGTCTTGTTTGTATTTTGCAAGTGTAATTCTTCATTGAGGCTATTTGGCTAAAATGATATTCACCCTTTAAGCACAGTTTATAAACAGGCACACCTGAACATACTGAAACTAGTGACAGGAAGACTACCCTATCAGGATACAGATTAAAACGTACAGATAAAACATAAAACCATTTATCAGAATTTTCCTGACAAAAGTAGTTTCCATTTTGTAGTGGTAAATAATTTTACTTGCTGAAGCTTAGTATACTGTTAATTTATAGTGCTTTGTTGCTCACTTGCCATAACTTCAAAAATTTAAGCATTTGACATTGAAAATCAGCTTATCCTCATCAGAATGTCAGCTTCTTGCTTGCATTCTGTTAGTGTCTAATAAACAATAAGAGGTGGGATCACTCTTCAAGACAGTAGTAAACTTTACCTTGATTGAATAAGAATTAAATGAGACACCAGACACTTAATTAAAATCTAGCACAGCAGCAGCTGAAACAAATATAGAAAGTTAATACATTTTTCAGGTTACAGCAAGAATTGCTAGAAGAAAATTCATCTGTATTATCAAGGTGGTAATGGTTATGTTCCTTTGTGTTACTGCTTTTGAAAGTATTTTCCAACTCTTTAATCACTAATGAATAATTATTTTATTTAATTATATAATAATTTAATTTTTTGAGCATTTTTAAGAGCTTAAATCAAAACCAATGTCATTATTCCACTTCTGTCAATAATATTGCCAAATGCAGTCCTTATGGTGATCTCAAGAAAGACAGTTTACCAGATATCCCACTCTGGTACTTGGTTTAATAAAATAATAAGGAAATCAAAGCAGTGCACAGTTTTAACAATCCTGAAATCTTCATGAAATATCTTATATCTTTGTCATTCATTCTAGTAAAGAAGGGTGAGGTGTTTTTTTTCTTATTGAAATGAGTTTTTTTAATATGAAAGCCAATGTTTAAGACCAAAACAGGCAAAAAAGAGTGACTTCACAGTTGAATAATTTTGTAAGTCTAGAAAGGAGACCTGAGGATCCTGAACTACACAGAATTGTAACATTCAGAAGGCAGCTTAGCTGATAGGTGTAGCTAACAACTGATTGTATGATCTTGTTCAAGGCCAATTTGTTATCCAAATTCAAATTAGAATGGTCCTTATCCAGTATTGTGACTACAAAGTCCTATGTTTTCATGCACAGGCAAGAGATACGCTGAAATGTTTCCATAGCGATTCTATTTAGGATGAAGTTAGGATGTCTTAGAGGTCTTTGAAGTACGTTTAACTTCAAGGGAAGACTTCAACAAAATACTTGCCTAGAGATGCTGTGGTTTCCTGTTGACTATGGGGCACAGCAGCCCTTTGCAGCTGTGATACAGTTGTATAATGCAGCTCTATCGTGCTGAAACTGACACATGCACAACTTTCCATTATTATATCTGTTTTGGTGACAAGAACAAGATCGGAAGGAAGCTCAGGAGGTTTGAATAATCAGAAGAACCAGCACTTCAGGTGCTTTGCACAAACCTGGCAGTGTAGAGGTGAAATCTGCTGTCTGGCTACCCACTGAATTACAGAGTTGTCATGTCTAATGTAATGTGGATTTAACACCACATTTATTGAACTCATTTAGTAGAGTCTAACTGATAAATCTTAGAATTTACATTGATACTGCACCATAAAACACCCACATCAGCCCAGTCTTTAAACATGTGCTTAACTTTGCAGCCTTGTGATTAAGGTTGTGGACTGGGACACTGAAGAGCTGGGTTCAGTTCCTGCTCTAGTACAGTCATCCAGTGGGATACAGGGTAAGTCACTAGGCCCCAATTTTTTTTGAGCTGTATAGGTTTGTCTCTGCTCAACTATGGCACATCTGTCTAATTAAGATCTAAGGTATCATTGACAGTAGCATTATATGATATAACACCTATGTACTGTTGGCTTTCATTGATTTGTATGAGCAGGTTTTTTAAAGACAGTGATGCCAAAGCTTCTCACTTGCAATGTAAATTCTGTGTTGCTGAAATTTTCAGAGTCAAACAGGGGTATTTAATGGTTTCTGTGTTATATGTTTTTAAGACAGATAGTCCACCTCATTTTTGAATGTGGTTGTTGCTCTGTTCCTCAGTTTTCCTCACATTTATTTTTTTCTGTCTCTTTTCTTAATAGCAAGTAAGTCCTTTGCATTCTTTCCATTATGTGCACATAGAAGATGAACTGCAAGAGACACCAAAGTACTGAACAGGAATGTAGCTGCTACCTCAGTAAAAACAATGCTTCAGTAGACACTGTCAGATAATACCATTGCATAGCATATTATCATGGAGCTACTTCATTGGTAACATAGCCTATAGACGGTGAGGTACATGAGACTAATACTCTTTGTCTGGTGCAACAGTGGTTTTTCATAGAATTGTAGAATGGTTTGTTTTGGAAGGGACCTTAAAGATCATCTAGTTCAAGCTGCCCTGCCATAGGCAAGGAACCTTCCACTAGACCAGGTTACTGAAAACCTCATCCAGTTGGGCCTTGAACAGTTCTGGGATGGGGAGTTCAAAACCTACCTGGGCAACCTGTTCCAGTGCCTAATCAACCTTAAAATAAAGAATGTCTTCCTAATATCTAGTCTAAATCTACCCTCCTTCATCTAAAGTCCATTCCCCCATATCCTGTTACTACAAGCCCTTATTAAAGGTCTCTAGCTCTCTTGTAGGTCCCCTTTAGTACTGCTATAATGTTCTATAAGTCTCTCCAGAACCTTCTCTTCTCCAGAGTGAATAACCAACTTTTCCAGGTCTGTTTTGCAGTCCTGTGACTAACTTGGTGCCTCTGGACTCATTCCAGGTGGTCAACATCTTGTGTTGAGGCTCCCATTTTTGTCAGATTTTATTTCTTCTTTTTTTCCCCCCTACTCTTGAACTCAAGACTGCAGTTACATGGTTAATATCTTTATAAGATCTTTGTAATGGAAGGGGCTGTCCAATTGGTGTGTACTTCATGAGGAGCAAAATAGCAAGTGGACCTAAACAGGAATGAATGCTTCCAGAACAAATGAGACCTCCTGGACAGCCTAGGAAAGTTTAGCTTTTCTAGCATAAACTGTACTGCATGAGATAAATTGCCCACTAAGGGTATGAAAATGCCAGTGCATTTTGATAGATTCCTAAAAAAGCCCTAGAAAGTTGACCTTGCATGAGGGAACTTGAAGTAGCACTTAGCTGGAGTTGAGGATAAGTGCCAAATAGGTTTCTGAACTTTGCTCAGCTTCTCTTTCATCACAGGATGAAGACATTGATTTTACAAGTTAGCAGCTCTGAATCTTAGCTTTTCAGGTCTTTAGATCTTTGCTTTGTAGCTTTCTTCAACACGCTGCAGTCTGCATCTCTCAAAGGTTTTCCCTTAGCCTTATAATAATTTCAAACAGAAGTTCTAAGGCCTTTCAGTTAGTTGTCCAGCACAATGGTCTATATTGCAGTGGAAGAGCCTCACAAAGTCAGGTGCCACGTTGCTTATGCTGATGCCTGCATGTTTTGTTAGCTCTGGTACTAAATACTCCACAGCACCAAGGAGGAAGTTAGGCTTGGAACTTGTCAGTGTGCTTAAGGTATGGTTATATTTGCTTGCAATCAGACTTCCTGAAGTAATGGAGAGGCATCCTTAAGTTAGAATTGTGTGTGATCAGTTCCTGGGAATAAGACCTTAAAACAGAGGAATTGCTTTTAATATATATGTTTATGTAAAGGTGTTACTGTTGCATTTCCAAATATGACTTGAAGAAGAGAGTTGGTGAGTACTGCAAGATACAGAGCTGCAATACTCCATTTTGCTTCCACCTCATGTTCCTGTTTTCTGTCTGGAGCCTTGTGGCAACAGGCTGATACAGTTTTCTTGCTTAGTTGGGTAGCATCATTATTATGTACAATGTGAAATCCCCTTTTTTGAGCAGCTGAGAAATGGAGAAATCAAGAGATATCTTCTGAAACTACTTAAGATTGAAGCTCACTCAGAATGTTGTGTACAGAGTGTTTTCTATATTTCCTTTATATTCAGTCTTGCTGCTCTGTTACGAGTCAAGCAGTAAGGTTTCCTAAGAAATGTTGATTTAGCTCCTAATGATTCTGTATTTCTAAAAAGTTTGATTGAATGTCTGAAATTTCAAACAAATAACTCATTTCAGTAATACCTCACATGCAGTAAGGCTTGCCTCAAACGTTGTTAACGTGCTTTATAAATTAGGTGTCTTTGGGTTTTTGATATCTTACAAGACTTATGACTGAGGTTCAGCTCAAATTATTCTTGCTTGTAATCAAAAAAGCTTTGCAATGAAGGACACTAATTCAAATTTGAAGCTATTAGAAATGTTCACGTTTGTTCTGTCAAGTTCTGACCCTTCTTCCATTTACTCTGATTTATTCTTTGTTCCCCTCATTAGGTGCCTACCTTGTGCCATACTTAGTCTTGCTACTGATAATAGGGATTCCACTTTTTTTCTTGGAGCTTGCTGTTGGGCAGAAGATCCGTCGAGGGAGTATTGGTGTGTGGAATTATATCAGCCCCAAACTTGGAGGAATTGGATTTGCAAGCTGTGTAGTAAGTTTTTTTACACTGTGTCATTTGCTTTCAGATGTTATGATTTAGACTTCTTGTTTTGCTGCAGGGAAAGGCCATTGATTTGTAGCTGGGCATCAAGGTCAGTTTACAGTGTTTTTGAAGATCTTAGAACTTGAATTGATCCATTTAAACTGTTGGCATATATGTGTCTGTTAAGTCAGTCAATTTGTATTTTGTGATTCTTTTGAAATTGTGGAACAGAGTAGCCTTCTGGAGGAAAAATGCCTGTAGGTGTGAAATAAATAAATAAATATGGAGAAAAGTGAAAATTTACAAAATGTCCGGTACTTTAAGGGGACAAGTCCTTCCCTTCTTCTGATTTAGTTGAATAAAACAAAATTTATTTAATCAGGTTCATTGAATGATGTACAGAAATATGTAGAAATTCAGCAGGCATTTTTTTATTTGCTTCATAAATGTAACTTTTTGGTTGTTTTTGTTTTTTCCTTCTTACTAGGTATGCTTCTTTGTGGCCCTATACTACAATGTCATTATTGGATGGAGCCTGTTTTACTTTTCCCAGTCTTTTCAGCATCCATTACCGTGGGACCAATGTCCTTTAGTTAAAAATGCATCTCATACCTGTAAGTCTGTGTTAACATAAGGTTCTTAAAAATCATATAAAGTATATAAAATTTGAGGTTTTCAAACAAAAAGGAGAAAAACTAAAATTCAAGAAGATATTTGTGTGCAAAGGTGTTCTATTTGTGTGTTCTTAAGTGTCCTATAAGAGCACTATTTTCTATGTAAATTAATAGAAATGAGATAATCACTCCTTTGAGTTTTGCTGTAATGATATGATCTCTTACAGACATATTCTGTAGCAGCATGAAAAGTTCCTTATCCCTTGGGTTTGCTTATCTTATAACAGTACATATTTTGTAATATTATGGCTATTGAAATATGAATTCTTTCTTCTTTTCCTTTTTTTTTTCAGATCCTAAATTTTCTTTAATTATCTTTTGTTGGTTTATTTAAAACTTGAATAAAGAACAACCAGGGATGTTTGAAAAGTTGTACCTTTTTGTAGTGTCTTTTCAGAGTTGCTTGCTTCAGTTATTATTCAGAAATAGTACTCGTGAATGTTGACACACAAACTGATTGTATTCCACAAGCTACTGTTCATTAATTGAGCAGCAGTGGTTGTTTATGTACTCTTGTGTCAGCCTAACTTGAGCAGAGGCCATCTGAACTAAGCTTAAAAAAAGAAAACTATTATATTTGATAACATCTTACCATTATTAGGTTATTTCAGTGAAGATCTGTCATCTGTGTTAGGTTAGGTTAAAAAGAGTATATTTTCCCCTTTTTTTCCATTAATTATCCTGCCTCAGGACATGCTTACATGTATGGTTGATTGTCAGGTATAAATAATTTATAAAGAATTTAAGTAAATATTTTCTTTGAAGAATTTTTTCTATTTATGTGTTACGTATCTAGATACACACAGTTTCTTAAACTGTTTGGTAACATGACTATAACAGAATTACAGTATGATCCAAAGAATCACTTCTGGAATATACATAGCAACTTTCATTAAATATATCTGTGTAGGAACCACTTATTTCTGCTGCTTCTCTTTCCCCGCCTAGCTGATGTTGAGAGTGGGGGGCGGCAGTTTTCCCCCTGGAGCTCCTTGAATCCCAGTTGTCAGTTGTTTCGGCGCAGTATAAAACACAGGCAGCGCATTCGGGTCCCAGGGAAACTTTATTTGATGGTGTTTCTTCCCCTCTTTCTTCCTGGGCCCCGTTGAAGGGGCCAACAAAGACTTATATCTCAGGGGAAAGGCAGGGGCAGACCCAACTTCCAACAAATCAGGAGAGTTGGGAGTAAAAACCCAGGCGGGGAATAACATGAGCGAACCAATAAACTTCCAAGGAAGAAAAACAGTTTTAGGAAATGGGTAAAGTCTGGAGAAATAGAAACTAGGAACTAGCTGACGACATTTCTGGGAAAAGGGTGGAGACAAAAGAAAAACCAGCACCAAGGAAAACTACTAAATCACAAATCAAACCATAAACCTACTGATAAAACAAAAAGCACGATACAACACTTATTTCCTTTTCTTATCACTTTGGTATCATTGTGTTAGTATTTTATTGTTTATAATGGTAGTTAAGTCCCTATTTACTTGAGCATCATATCAAAGCAGAGACAATGATTCATTTTCCATATATCTTTACATTTGTGTTCGATGCAGAGAGATGGTTTTCATAGTATGTAATTCATAGAATCATATGTAGATAATGTAATTTGGTTTGTGATAAATGGAATATATGTCTTCATCTAAGCCTGCCTGCCGTTTAGTTTTGAAGTGAGAACTAAACCTACTCTGCCTTGAAGTAGGTTTAACCATAATGCAGAGGAATACAGTGTCCCTAAAGGATATTTTAAAGGATACTCCCAGAAGTTTTCACTGATAGCAGTCACTTTTTCTTTTAGACAATGTCTTAAGACTTTTCTGTGAGTTTAACTAAACTTTAATAAATGATGATGGCACAATTAGAAATATTGAGAAGTGATAGAACACTTATGAAATATCTCTCCTGAACCCTTTCTTTACTTGCTAACATCTCTTTGACAGTTGTGGAACCAGAGTGTGAAAAAAGTTCTGCAACCACTTATTACTGGTACAGAGAAGCACTGAATATTTCCAGCTCTCTGTCAAAGAGTGGAGGTTTAAATTGGAAGATGACTATCTGCTTGCTGGCTGCTTGGGTCATGGTATGCTTAGCCATGATCAAAGGCATTCAGTCTTCAGGAAAAGTGAGTATACTGTTTGTAAACTGCATGACATTGTTTTATTTTGAAGCATTTCAGGACATTTCTGTTCACCAAACTGTCTGTTTGCTCTCATGGAATCTGTAGGAGCAGGTTAAGTGCTTTGACTCACTCCTGCACTTGTATAATCTCAAGCAGAAGAATTTTAGTAGTTAAGCATTAAAATATAATTAAAATATATCAATTTTATTGGAAATGGGTGTTATTTAGTGGGAGTTGAAATCTGAAGAATAATTTTGCTTCTCATCAGCATAGTTGTTGCATGTAACTGTACCTCAGCTTTATTGTGCTGCGTAAGTCTCTGTGTTTTGAGTGTCTAAGGAAATAAGTTTCCATGTGTACTCACCGTATGACTGCAGTGCATTCACATATGCGTGCTTCTGGCATTAACACAGCAGCTTTCCAGGATTCTAGATTGTTTCTTTTGACTAATGATTTAACATCCCTCTGCATCTGAGTACTGTTACCTTGTCTTCTTTCCTTTGCATGCAGCCAGCTGGATTTGCTGGTGAAAGATTTGTTAGATCTCTTGATCTCAGTGGGATTTTCAGAGGAAAAATAATTTGTCCCAATAGCAAAATTCTTTGCTATTAAAAAGTTTGGCACTGACATGGCAATTTGTGACCTAGAACTAGCAAATCATTTTACTAAACTTTAGAGAATAAATTTTCTTTTCAGTGATGAGTAATGAAAGATCAGATTTAATTATTATTTTGTGTTGTTTTGACAGTAAGCATGTGATTGAATTAATTGGTTGTGTACTTTCTATAGATTCTTGTACCCTTACCTTCTGAAGGCAAAATTAGTTTCTATTCATGCAGCCTACCTTTGACATACCCAGTCAAAGTGCTTTTTTAAAGAGAAGCATTTCTGTAACAGTTTATGTCTGTCTTTGTTTTCATCTCATTGAAATTATACTGAATTTCCCTGAAAGTCCAGATGCTCTTTATCAGTTAGTGATAAGTACATCAGGCAGTTGTATTGCTTTTGTACAGTAGAGAATTTAATTTCTTTTACAATCATGTGATTTTGCTTTCTTCTGCAGAGACAAGAGGAAGGGGAAGTGTTCTGCATATTTCATAGAGTATATGATTATCAGTTCAGTCCTATATCCAAAGGATACTGTGTAGCGAATGAACATTTTTAAAAGAAAGTCCATGTTAAATGTCATGTTACATTTATTTTGCTTTCTTGTATTTCAGATCATGTATTTTAGTTCCCTTTTTCCATATGTGGTACTTTTATGCTTTCTGATCAGAGGACTGCTCCTTAATGGGTCAGTGGATGGAATTCGTCACATGTTCACCCCTAAGGTATGTACTTAATTTCTGTTTGCAGGGCATTAAAGTTTCAGTGGCAATTTGACCATTTATGAATGCTCTCATTTAAGCTTATTGTTTTCATAGAACATTTGGCTGTATTTCTGTTTGCTTAAATTGCAAAATTTTTATCTTAGTGGCACAATACCAAGCCCTAAAGTCCAAAGGCTCTAGGTGTTCCAAAGGTCTGTAGAGTTACCTCTCTTATGTGAGGGCTCTCAGAATTATACGCCTCTACAAATCTAAACAACTGAGAGTGCAGTTTAGAGGATTCTGGAGGTTTAGAGAGCTCTAAATACTGAAAAGAGAAATTTGCCATTTTTTAATATTGAAATGTCTAGTTCTGGGTTGTCAGTGCCTTATCATGGCATAATTAACTTGTCCCTTTTGGAAAAGAGCTTTTTTTTCCCTCCTTTTTAGAAAAAACTTAAAGGTGTTTACATAGTAGCCCAAAGTACAGGTGACCTGTATTTAATAGTGAAGTAGTGTAAGTACTCACCACTAAACTTTCTTTATCAATTTTCTTATGACATGCCAATATAGCAGCAGTTCTAAGCATATTTTTTTCACTGCCAATAATTTTGCCAGGAGTGTGCCTTACACAGCTTTAGGTTTTTTAACTATGGAGGTGATAAGGAGTATTATGAATCACTGTTTAGCTTGAAGATCTAAATTCTACCCACACCCATCTCAAATGTTTGCAACTACATCTATACTATAGGAACAGCATGTTTGAATAGTCAGAGCCATACTCGGGAATGAATAAGTCTGGGCTTCATTTTGTGTTGTGAAATGGGCTTTCCAAAAAGTCCACGCAATACAGTTGAGAAGAACAGGACTATTATTTCAAAAATGAAAGCTAAATAATGAGATAGTCAAAATCAATGCCCATAGTGGCTAATGCCAGATGACAAGGTGTTGTCAGTTCTTTTGATTACAGCTGTTTTGAGTCCGGAGAACTGTCATCCTGTAAAAATGACCTTTGTCATCTCCCACATTGATGCAGTCATGTTCCACTTCACTCACTGTCACCACCTTAGAGAGACATGCTTGTGCAGAAACTTGCAAGCTGCTCAGGCAAATTTGAGAAACCTGAGGAAGGGAGAAATGTAATGCCTACGAACAAGAGAAAGTCTAAAGTGAAGGTGAAATACAGACCTCTATAAGATATAATTTGGTTTCTCAGCCACAGTGTTAATGCTTTCTTTGGCTGGAGAAGTACCACTAGATACTGAGGGAAAAGAAATATAAAAGCTGCCCTTGGATACCAACACCTCTTCAGTATTCACTACTTCATGTGTTATACTTAAAAAAAGTATACTTTTTTGTAAAGTAAAATGTTTACTTTACACTTACATTATTCTTAATTATACAAATGTTTCAACTGTTCATTTAAATGATACCAAGGAAAAAGCGTTCTTAATTTCTTCTGACAGTTTCCAATTTTGTATCAAAATTTAAGTTGTGGTTTAAATTTGAAGATTGGAGGCCTGTATGTCACATGTATTATATGTGAATATAAACCTTAAAAAATATTTCCATTATAATGTTTTTTTGTACTTGAGCACTAATTTGGACTGTAGGTTCATATGAGACTACCTGAAGAAATTCAGACTCTTGCCCCTGTTTCATTCACTCCACCGTGCTAACACTTTATTTGGGCATGCAAGCTCTAAAAAGGAATGCTAATCCAATGTAGACTGAAAATTATCCAGGTAGATAGATGGGAGAGGGAGAAGCACCGTTTTGGCCCAATTAGCTGAACAAATGACCACATTTTGAGCACAGACGATTGCAGGAAATTTCCATCAGTTGTGCCAGCGCAGGAGAGGACTGGCACACATTGGTGAAGGTGTGAGAGTGCAAGACTAATGCAGAAGAGGAGAATTTCTCTGTTTGGCATGTTGTTAAACAAAGCAGAAATTCTAAATAAGAAAATTCATTGAAAACCTAAAGAAAGGTATGTGAAAAGCCCACTTAACTGCTGCAGTTAAACTGTGGGATTATATGAAGCTGAAGTACAGAGACTACAAAATTTCACATACAATACCTAGTAGCCAATCAGTCTAGAGTTAATTTTGGAAGTCTGGGCTACGTATATCCAAAAACACACTACTTCTGATGGTACCAAAGGATATATTATAGGAAGCGAGAAGTGTTTTGGTGTTTGAACCAGCTACGGATTTGTTACAGTTAACAGAGTTCGTTGCGCTCCCTCTGGTGGGAAAGCTCTGGCACGACAGTGACACGGTTAGAGCTACGTGCAGTAGCCACTTGTGCATTGTAATTATAATCTGAATTGTAAGTCAGGAATATGTTTATTCTCATAAACACCTTTTCCCAATTTTATTGTATTTCTGCTCTGTATAAGTGAATAAAGAAGCTTTCAGCTGCCTATCTAATAAATATTATATCTCCATGGGAAACAGACATTTTATTCAACATGTTGTAACAATAGCAGATTTATTTCTCCTCAGAGTAAGATAGTCAGTCTAATAATTCTGGCATCTGTGCTGATGCTTTTTAGTTTTACTTTTATGACTAAACCTAGGGCTTAAAGAAAATAAAAGTCACTTGCTTTAATGGAGGCCCTGAATCAGCTTGAGCAAATCTGATGTTTAAATTTGACATGTACTTAATTCTTTTTTGTGATTCAGTATCTAGAAGAATTTGAGATAGATTGTGACTCATAACTTTGTAACAAAGTTTGTTGGTTTTTTTTGAGCAATGCAGTTGATCTGAATGAGCAATACTGTTACATTTTATGATAAAAGACTTAGTTGCTGCTGAAATATATGACCATTTAACATAGGGTTAAATTCAAGGCATCTGAGTTAAAAGATTTGACTCATGTACTATACAGCTTCTGGTGGCGAGTGTTCATCTCATATATTTTGTTTTGTTTTACATATTTTTGCATGTAACTGAATTCCATATAAGCGTGTGTATCTCATGTTCACCTTCTTTTTGTTCATTTGTAAAGTAACAGCAAAGCAACTTTAATCATACTCACTGCATTTATTAAAAGGGTTGATCAATATAAAATGTCTCAAGTCTAACAGAAGTCAGTACATATACTGTAAATAAAAGAGTACTGTAAAAAAAGTTCTTTGTTATTTCTCAGTATAACTAGGTGCTATTTCAGTTACATAGCTCCAGTAGCGTCTCGTTGTTGGGAACATAAGTATAGCATGTTTCTCCTGGATGTTTAGATAATATAAAAGAAATAGAAATTCTGGCCCATAAGTTTGCCAACTTCAGGGGTTGCATTCAGGTTTCATTTTATCATTAGGAAAATACAGTTGTAGTGGAGTATTAGCATTTTTATGATGTAGTGTTTATTCTGTTGTTTTTTTTTTCATATAAGAGAAATGCATTTTATAGCTGACATATATTATATCTAATTTCAAACAGCTTGAAATAATGCTGGAGCCCAAGGTCTGGAGAGAAGCTGCTACTCAGGTGTTCTTTGCCTTAGGGCTTGGATTTGGTGGAGTCATTGCCTTTTCAAGCTACAACAAGAGAGACAACAACTGCCATTTTGATGCTGTACTCGTGTCCTTCATCAATTTTTTCACTTCTGTGCTGGCAACTTTGGTGGTGTTTGCAGTTCTGGGCTTCAAAGCCAATATCATAAATGAAAAATGTGTTACCCAGTATGAATATCCATTTATTTTTTTGAATTCTTTTTATGTTTGATTTCATTTATAAACTAACATGGACCACTGAGTTTGCTCTCTCTGTTTTGTTGTGTTTTACAGAAATTCAGAGAAGATTTTAAAACTTTTGAAAATGGGCAATCTCAGCCAAGTTATCATTCCACATCATATCAATTTCTCAAGCATTACAGCAGAAGACTATAATTTAGTTTATGACATTATACAGAAAGTCAAGGAAGAACAGTTTGATTCTCTTGGTCTGAAATCTTGTCAAATTGAAGATGAACTTGACAAGGTGAGATTAATCTTGAATACAGAGATTAGGAAGAGATGAACGTTTGAAAGCCTGAAGTAAGCTGTGATGTGTACCTACACAGAGTATCAGTACAGTGTACCTGTGAGCTGTGCACCTGTAAAGACCTGGATAGAAACATGGTTGCATTCCAGCTCACTTGCGGACTTTTGGGTCTGATATCTTAATATAGTCTTCACTGATTTACAATATATTTTGATAATTATTCTTCTCAGGAGGTGATAAGTTTTTTAAGCTCTGTTTTTCAGAAGAACTGTGCATGAGGGTTTTTCCAAAGACTGAACAGAAGTGTTACCTATTCAGTGTCACAGACTGAAAGGTATTCTAGTGTAAAGATACAATTATTAGATATAAATACTACTACACTAAAACAGAAAAATTATTATCTACTTATTAGGTAGTTGTTTAATAAGTATCATCCTGTTTTGAAATCTTACAGTGAGCCAAATCTGTAACAGAAATTATAGTTTTCTAGCTTTAGAGAGGCAATTGCAGATTGAAACACTGAGTTCTGTATAGTTGCACCAGTATCTGAAGATAAAATATAAAATTGGTGACTTAGACTTCTGAAGTTTCTATACAATGGCCACTGTTAAAATTTGAAACAAAACTATAGAAATTAAATCCTTTATATGCTTACTGGAGAAAACAGAGTGTATTTTATAGTAGTCCTATATAGTAGCTGTCATGCAAGATTATTAGTGAAGGAGAGAAAGAAGTTCTGATTGGACAAGAGAGGAAAATTCTTCATGATGAGCACAGTCATCTATTGAACTAATGGTGGTTTCCATGTCATTGACATTTTTAAGATTCAGCTGGGCAGGCTGCTGGGCCATCTTGTTTAGACTGCTTTTGCCAAGAAACTTTGGACCAAATGATCCATGAGACACCTTCAAACCTCATAGTTTGTTATTCTATGAAAGAAATGTGTTAATGCTAATCAAGTTACAAATTCTCATGTTTCAGTAAATAGTATTAATCGGAAGAATTATGTATTAGATAGCAAATTCCCACTCTGCCTTCAAGAGGCAATCAATGACACCATGTGAACACAAAGTCAGACTTGTCAGTCTGTCACACTACCAAAGAAACAAAAAAAAAAAATCATGAATAATGATATCATTTTGTTTTCCTCGCTGACAGGCAGTTCAAGGAACTGGTTTAGCATTTATTGCATTTACAGAAGCAATGACCCACTTCCCTGCTTCTCCCTTCTGGTCAGTCATGTTCTTTCTCATGTTAGTAAATTTGGGACTTGGAAGTATGTTTGGAACCATTGAAGGCATTATCACGCCCATTGTTGATACCTTCAAGGTCAGGAAAGAAATTCTTACTGGTGAGTTACTCAAACTTTCTTTTTTCCATGGAGCAGTAAGCAAAATTTTTTTTGGCATTATGAATTAATTTTTTTTCATGTGAAGGTTTACAGAGCAGTAAGTCACTGTATTCCAGACTGTACTTCCACACACAGGCACATTAATATCTGCCACTTAAACCTTTTCCTGAATGCTATAGTAGCATAAACACCCTAAAACTTAAATTTTAATTCAATTTCTGTTACAAGTTGCTGTATGGTCAGTCCTTTTGGGCTCTTTGAGAATGCTTTCCATTCCAGCCTGTGTCACACTTTGGAAAAGCAGAGGAAAAGGAAAGAGTGAAAATACATTGCAAATTACTACTAATTATTCCCGAATAGGCCAGATGAAATCTTAATTTATAATGAAATTTTTATTATGCTAAAATCAGTACAGTAACTCTCTAAAGAAACATACTTTTTCCCTGTTAAATGTTTATAAGGTCTTAAACAAGACATCCAGTTGTTTTGTTTGGGGTTTTTTTATTACCTAAATGCCCTAAGTTATTTGTTTGGGGTTTTTTTATTACTTAAATGCCCTAAGTCATTTGAGGTGTAGCATGTTCACGTAGCTTTGACTTGCAGGGATTTCTCTTTTTTATATAAAGCACCAGCAAAGGTGTGAAAGCTGGGTTTCTGAAAACCGTCAGGACAGATGCAAGAGGCTTGCTGTGTTACGCACAAATTCAGCTTTCATATCAATGCCTGTAAAAGGTGGGATGGAAAATAAATAAATGCTTTAATATTGTCTAACTCTATGAAGAAAATAAACTCTGTGAGAGAAATAGTAATACATTTTGTAAGAGTTAACCCCTGATGCAGCAGAGCAACTGCTTTTTTCCCAGTTGCTTTCTATACTTTACTGAGATAACAAGTAATATTTGATAGGTAAAAAAATCAAATTCTTAAAAAAGATAAATCAATTGATTTTTCAGAATTCCTAAGTTATTGAGCACTTTTTGGTCTGTTTGGTTTCTTTTAATTGGGTCTTAACTTCTTGCTGAATAACCAGTGCAACAATTAGAAAATAGCTGTTCTTCTTAAGTATGTGTGCAAGTACCATGATTTATAGTCATTACACTGGAGTAATGGAGCATTTTGCAGTAATTCTTTGTTACTCTGTTAGACAAAAAAAATAATTAAGATAAAGAAACATTCAATAACTGCCTTTCTCTTGTAAATTTTTAAAGTGGTGTGCATGCATGATTTTAGCTAAACTCAGTTGTACTCAGAAGATTACAACTTGATATAGCGTTTTGTTAAGTAACTGAAAAAAATGAAATATCTGGATTATTTTTCATGCAGTGCTGGTGGTATTTAAGAAGGATTATAGCTGCCGTAGCTGCAGATTTTGTGCTTACAAGACAGAAACATTCAACTTTTACAGAATTGTTGGTACATTTGGCAACTCTTTTTGTTCAGGGAAAGCAACTCAAATGCCTAAAGATATTTTATGTTTTGACCCAGATTAATTTCTCCTAATTTTGGAGTACTTAGATGCATCCTTAGCCTAAGTTCCCTGTGAGAAAAACAAGAGCTCTTATAACTGTAAGAATCAGTTTTACTGATAGTCAGCCTACAGCTGATTCCACGATTTATTGAAATTTGACTTACTTAAGCATTAAGTCCTGTTGCTGACAAATTTAGCAAATGATACTGAGATCCATTATGCAGGATCAGCCTTTCAAGAAATATATTTTGGGTTGTCCCTAAAGAAGGGACGGAAGTGTTGCTTAATGTACACATACATTTAAACAGATCCTAATAGAACTTTATGCCATTAATGATCTTTTAGGAGCAGTCTATTCAACCTTTGTATTTTTTAGAATCATAGTCTTTTTAGAATCATAGAAATGTCTTCTTATTTTTTTTTTCTCCATATTTTCACTTCTAAGTTCTTTTTACTTCTGAATTTCAAAAAGTGGGCTGGTGACCAATTAAAATGATATGTGATGTTTTGCCTAGTGGTTGATTTTACCTTTGCATTTACATTATGTTTAGTGAGAAACAGTCACTTGATTAATTCCTGCTGATTAATCTCTTAATCAGGACTGCTGTGATATGGTGATTCTAGTAATTCTAATTTCATAACTCCTCCGTTTTGTAGGAAAGAGGTGGGATTAGTAGTATTCTTATAATTGAGACCCCCTAAACAGTAAAAAGTTATTGTTTTTACTTTTATGAAATAATGTGTTAGTTGCTCCTTGTCTGTGGAACTTTGTTGTAATTATAATTCACATTTCTGTCCTTAATTCCAGTCATCTGCTGCTTGGTAGCATTTTTTATTGGCCTGATCTTTGTGCAGCGCTCTGGAAATTATTTTGTGACAATGTTTGATGACTACTCAGCTACGCTACCCCTGCTTATCGTGGTAATTTTGGAGAATATTGCAGTCATCCGAATTTATGGAATAGACAAGTAAGTGAAGGAAGTGTATCTCCCTGTCCATATCAACACCATTCTTTACAATAATTATTACTATTTTAATTATATTGTATGAGGCATTTGCATCATACACAGAAATACAAGTAATTAGAAAGCATGTCAATCTGGTCCAGAATCTAAAGTCTGTTACTTAAGAACAGGTTTGGAGCAAGATACACTACATCAGAACAGTGTACGGACACCCAAATAATGATTGCAAGAAGTCCAGAAACAGGAGAATGTAGTAAAAGAGACAAAATTAGAGATTTCAAAAGGAGGCTAGATAGAAAAGTATAGGGAATTTGTATCAAGAAAGACATCAAGAAAAGGATTTCAGAAATAAACATGGTCTAAGCAACAGATGAGGATGAGTATTTCAATGCAGTATTGCAGGAAGCCTGCGAAAGAAACAAAGCAAGCTCTAATGACAGTAAAAATAAAAAACTTTCAATTTATGAACTAACTTTAGTTTGGGCTGTTAGAGCAATTCATTTTTCTATGCGTGAGTTGTGAGAGAGGAGATGATAGCAAAAGCAGGGTCAAAGCTTACTTGGAAGCAGCACAGCTGACAGTGAAGTAAAGTCACCTGTTGGGGAAGAGGAATGACCATAAATCCCGCTTTTTTTTTTTTTTTTTTTTCCCTTGAGTTCATTGTATATCTAAAGAATCACCAGAATGTGTTCAGCAAGTGAGATCAGTATATGCCATGCTTAAGGAATAGAAGAGTTTATATCAAAAATAACTTGTGCCACGCACAGGTTAAACAGAACATGCTGTACTAACATGTTGTAGTAATTAAAATTCCTTTGCATGAAGAAAAAGTGCAACATAGAATGGGTGGGGTTTCATTTGACTTTTCACTTGTTTGATTTGAGTAATCAGCCAATCATTTGTCACAATGAAACAAAACTGTAAGAAGAAAGTGTAATTTTATGAATGTTTCCAGACATTGTTTCTAGTCTATGCAAGTAGTATTGGTCTGCTTGCTTGCTTGATAAGCAAGTCCCAACTTGGTTCCAACTTGGACCACATGTATAATCCTATAATTGATCATTTAGATAGAAAAACACCACGTAGATTATTTTACACATGCAACCAAAAGATAAAACAGATGACCTGGTTATAAAGTTGGTAATGTCCAAGCTCCACTGTGAAAGGAAGTAGACATGCCAAAAGTCAGCAGCTTACCTGTGAGGAAGTTGATGTTTAGGCATAGCTAAGATATGGTAATCCTTTGCTCATGACTCCAGTGACTGCTTATGAATCCAGTGCAGGCAATTCATGTTTTCAGAAGGGGTTCTGACAGGATACAGTGAAAAGTTAATAGCCAAGTTTCTTATTTATAATGACCACCCGAGTATTCCCTCTGGAGTATTCCTAGTATTTCTTCTGATGTGTGTTTCTGCAGAATATCCTTCAGGGACCTAGCAATTTGGTTTGCAAAAGCTGTCAATATCAACAGCCTCAGTTTGTCATTGGCTGTGATAGTACCAAGGGTTCCCTTTAGATGAAGTTTTGTGTAAATGTCTTACTAGACTTTAAGTCTTTGATCAGATAGTAGAAAACCACAGCATAGAATCCAAAGGGTGCTATAGAAAAGAGAATTCTGTAGCTAGGAAGGAAAATCTCCCACACTGGAATCAGTGCTATAAGAAGCTTGAGCTAAAGTAGACTTTCAGAAGAGGATGAGTAGGATGGAGACTATTGAAGACTACTTTAAAAGTAAGGATAACAGATTCATGTTCAACTGGTAGGAGAACTGGAGATCTCAGAAAGAGAAGGCTACCTATAGAGGACACAATCCATTTGTAAATTCAGCTCCTTTTAATTATGTGTTTTAGTTCAGTGTAAACAAATAATAGAATGCCTCAAGCTGTGCAGTTAAAGTATTTTTCTGAGGGTTTACATTACAGAAGCTTCACATGTGTAACTGCTTGGAAAACATCCTTCCATAAGAGCTTTTTGGAGATGCACATTTCAAAAGGGAGTGGGGCCACAAGGGAGTTAAAACAATCATTGCTTGTGCACACTCCAGAAGAATTATTTCTAAAATCATTCTCTGTTTCTACTGGCTTTGGAACCATGTACTCCATCATGAGTACAAAAATAGGAGTTTTGTTCATGTCTTAACTTAAAATTTTGAGGAGAAAGGAGGCAGTTTTATAGCTTGGCAGTTTTATTTCAGCAGCTTATATGATGCAAACCATATCTTATGCATAAAGTTGTTTTTTTTAGACTGCAGCACGTGTGTGGGTTCAAAATTAATATTGCACAATCTGTAAGGTGTGCTGGTAGACAACCCAGTAGACAATACAAGAAAATGTAAAACAGGATCTTCTAAAATAAAAGTGAGTTTAAATATCTTCCAGCACAGTCCAACAAGCAGCTTACTAAATCACTGCACTGTGCAGAGATTCCTTTTGTTTGTCTGGTCTGAACTACTAGTATAAGCTCTATTTTTCAGACAGTCAGGTAATTTGAGCTACAGCTACTCCTGTATATGCATTTTTCCAGTGTGTTGCTTCCCTCAGGTTGGGTGCTGTGTATTGATTATAGTGCTCAAAATCTCAGTGTCTACACTAACAATAACATTTTAATCCCTTTACAGATTTATGGAGGACCTGAAGGATATGCTGGGGTTTTCTCCAAGCCAGTATTATTACTACATGTGGAAGTATGTTTCACCCTTTGTATTGTTATGTTTGCTGGTAGCTAGCATTGTCCAAATGGGATTTAGTCCTCCTGGTTACAATGCTTGGATTGAAGATACGGTATGTATGTAGTATGTATGTGTATATGTAGGGTTTGTATGTGTATATGATACCATCATCATCATCATAGTGATCGTATCTGAAGCATTTGAGAACACAAGTGGACAAAAAAATTACAACTAGAAACTCAAAATCAGTATAAATAATGACATGGTTGCTTTTATCTCAAATAATTTTGATGTAAAACGAATAGTTTTTTTTAATTTTAAGTAGTTCTGCTTTAAAATATAACTGATGGACACAAACCTGTATGCTCTGGGTGACTTACTTTATAATGTGTGATAAAAAAACTCTTAATCTTGGGAGAGGTTGTTCACATTCATTAAGTTTTATTTTACTGCAGAAAACAGATGCTAACTGCATAAATCATTTCAGATATCACATCAAGATTTTTATGTGTCATAATTCTTTCCCTTTCGGAACACATATTGCAGTGTAGGTAGCAGCTGTATTAAAACCTGTCTCTGATAAGAACTTGTCTGGTGAGTGGCAAGACAGTTCTGAGCTCTGACTTCAAAAAGAGATTCAGTCAAGGGAACTCTGAAGACTTCAGCTAGTTGTAGGCCCATGAGCCCTCAGCTATTTCTGCAGGCTTTTTATGCAAAATAGACAGAGAGAAATTGTCAGAGACATTCATCCAACGAAACTTGCCCAAATTAGCCGGGGGAGAAGTCGCAGCAAAGGCAGGTAAAGGATAAACACAGGAGGCTGGCTTCAGTATTGGTAGATAGTATGCCCGCCTCCATCCAGACAACTACATGATGCTCAGAAAAATGCTCTTGTTACATTTCTCAAAAATTAGAAAGAGAGATACCTTAGAATGCCAAACATGCCATTCCTTTCCATGTACAAAGTTAGGCAAGCAGAGCCTGTTGGCCATTGATGTGTGGAAGCAGTAGAGCTGTGGGATATAGTAGTGCCACAGCATTACAGTTTACCTGATGTTTATGCAAAGTGCAATAACTGAGATGGTTCCTGTCTAGACCAGCTTTTAGCCTACAGAACAAGGGTTAATTTTCCAGGCATAGTTACAGATAATCACTGCACATTTGTCTGTTGTGGACACCCTTTAAAGGATCAGGAAACTACAGAGAAATGTAGCAGAAAGCCTAAAGGGAAAATCTTCATTTGTGTGCTGCTGAAGTGCTCTCAGAAACTGTTCAACAGTGTTTTAGTCCTGCTCACTGGCTGAAAGATAGCAGTCCTACATCTCCATGACTCTTCAAATTTGAGATCTGTAGTGGTGCCTACACTGTGAGTGCCGTGGAGTATGTGCTTGAAAACTGCAGACCTCAATGAGGACTGCAGGATTTTGTTATTTTTCTGGTAAAGATGTATTAATCGTTTTTCTGTTGTGTTTCTCAGGCTATGGAAGAGTTCCACAGATATCCAGCATGGGGAATGATTGTCTGTATATCTTTGATGGTGTTGGCCATACTGCCAGTCCCAATAGTCTTCATGGTACGCCGTTGCAACCTTATCGATGACAGTTCTGGTAGTTTGGCATCTGTATCCTACAAAAGAGGTCGAATAATAAAGGAACCTGTTAATCTGGAGGGAGATAATACAAGTCTGATTCATGGGAAGAGTCCAAGTGAAGTGCCGTCTCCAAATTTTGGCAAAAACATCTATCGAAAACAGACTGGCTCACCGACTCTGGACACGGCTCCAAACGGACGCTATGGTATTGGCTACCTGATGGCAGATATGCCTGACATGCCAGAGTCTGATTTGTAACCACAGAACAAAAAAAGTGCTGTTTCTTTCTTCTCTCACTGATCACGGCCCTGCTGTGAGAAGTGGCCAGTGTCACTTACTAGGGTGCGATCTCAGGTGCTCCATAGTGACAGTCTTTAAAATGTCATGACTGTGCGTACTGGTTGAGGAAATTCACGTTGGATTAATTCTCTGAGGTTTTATTTGCACTGAAGGAAACATTCAAATGCAATGGCAGCCTACATCTGCCAGCATATCCAAGAATTTGATTTTTTAATTAACTTCTAAATTTAAAGCTTTCTATTTCTGAAGCCCAGGTCTTGCTCAAATAATAAAATATTTCTGAGGTTATATCATTGAAAATCAATTTTTTTTCTGCTAAATTTCAGGTTGACTCCCAAGTATTGATGGTGAGCTCAGTAGTAGTTCACCAGACCTGTGTTTGTGTAAACACCTGTGTATACCTGATGTAGATATGCTGTACTTACTTTATTAGCACTGATAATTACTTAGGCTATTAGCTGAGTGAAAAACAAACCTGCAAACTATTTTCTTATGTAATAGCTGTATAGAGCAATAGTATTAGAAAATCAAGGAGTAGACTTATAGGAAGGCGATCAAAGATTCCCTGTTCACTGGGGACTGCGTAAACTGTGACTGTATATTTTCTGTAAAATATTTGCTTTTCAGTGTGAAAACAATGTTAGAGTGAGTCACTCCAAGAATCTTAAGGATTGTGCAGATTCTGCATTTTTTTCTATGCTGTGTGCCTAAAAAAGACCTTGATATTTATTGTGGTTTCAAGATTGCATATATATTATATTTATATAATATACTTGTAATGTAAATATGTATATTATTCTATATGTAATCGTTTCAAAAGTTGAAGCAAGATGGCTTTTTTAATTAGTCTCCTTCAGTTTTGCTTCTGTCTTATGCAGATGATTTTTTTTCAGTCAGTAATTGTTAAGAACTGTATGGCATTACATTTTAACCAATGAATAAAGAGATTGATAAGGTATTTCACTGTGATATCCTTATTATAAGTGTGGTAGACTTATTATAACACAGCCTGCTTTTTCCTCATCTGGACTACCTGAAAGAATGACATTTACTTGATGAATAGAGATGCTAAAAGAACTTGAAAACAAAAAATCAGTCATAATAAACTTTTGGACAGAGCCATTTACTGTGAGTACAGGAGGTGATGTAGCGTTGTAAACTGGCAGGATGTGCTGGAAGCTGGTACACTATCTACTCCTTACCTTAAGGTGTTTTAAAACTAGGAATAACTTCTGACTTTCCTACCTCTAATAAGCAACGGGAAGAACTTATTTACATTGCCCCAGCATCAAAGAACTAGATTAATTTATTTGAGGTAAATGCAAGTCTCTGAGGCTGTGTGTGTCAAGACTACAGTTTTGAGCATGTCAGTATGGAAAAGCTATGACAAATAGATGGAAAGATGCAGAATTTTAAACCAAAACAGTTTAGCAACTTGATAAAATTCCTTATGGATTCCTCCTGTCACAGGAGAATAATCTCAGATAGTTTTCCACTTTTAACCTGAGAGCTTTTGAAATAATTTCCAATCATTGGAAAGTTGAACTAGAAGCATTAGTTGACAAAAAGCTATATTTAATTATCAGGCTTATTTTACATGTGATAGAAATTGTGCACCTAAAAAAGCATTTAAAGAAGTCCTCTAAAATGAAGGAACATATGGGGTACGGTTGACATAATTTAAGCAGCTTGTTCTTTTATAACTGATGTATTGGCAATATTATCCTTTGTGTAATGGCTCACCATTAGAGACAGAGCAAGCACGTACAAAATATTCCTGTTGTGGCAGAGCAACAGGAAATTTCCACCAGCATACCACATCAGGCTTCTAACATGCCTCTGCAAGGTAGTTGCCATGCATTCCTCTGTGCCCAGTCCACAGAGTGCAGAATTGTGTTCTTACAGATGAGTTACCTGTACTGACACATGCTTTTATAAACCCTAGTTTTCAGTGTAGAACCATGGTCAAGTGTTTGCTGCTACAGAAGAGCTCTTAAAATGAATGTGAGCGAGATCTTACTATTAAGGTGTGATAGCTACTTCTGTTAATGCATCACAAAGGGGACTAATGCTGCTTTAGCCGACTGCTGAAGATTATTCTGCTGGGAATGTATGTCTGCCCTTTTGCTCTTTACTTCAACACTTTTAATGAGTATTAAGATTTTCCACTCATTTAAACCACTAGTTCTCAATTGGTTGCTTCCTATTAACTCCAGTTAGCACATCACCTCAGCTCAATGAAATGTTTCAGGCCTGAGAAAGCCCAGAATGTATGTCCTGTCTGCTGTCATATTCAATTCATGATTTGATAATAACTATGATTGAACATGCTCAAGTGCAGAAGTTCTTTAGCTTTGGTTTAGTGTGATGGTCTCTTAAAAAGGCACAATCTGTCCAGCCTAAAGAAGCCGATAAAAAAAAAAAAAAACTGGTCAAAAAAAGCAGATGTGAAGATTTAAAAAATCTAAAAGTAATTACTATAAAGTGTGACATCCAGGTACTTACATATTAATAAAAGAACTACTGAAGCAAAGAAAGAAATTGTATGTATACTTGCTATTAAAGCCAAAGGAATCTACATTGCTTTGATTCTTCAGCTTTGGGAGCAAAGGTAGTAAAAGAAGAGGGCAGAAGAGAGATGTTTCATATCTATCTACTTAAAAGTCTGTGTGTCATGTCAGTTATAGCTACAATTAATCTGGGGGTGTGAGGGGGGTTGTTTAAGGAAGAGATCTTTGCAAAAGTCAGTCATGCTTAAAGAAAATCCTAATTGAGTCTTACACAATTTTGTTCTTAGGAAATGGCCTAAGAACAAGATCATCCATGTGGAAAGTGAAAACAGATTACCAGTATTATTATTGCTGAAGGCATAAGGTTCCTCTAACCAATATTATTTTTGGGATCTGATTTTGCCACAGAAATTTAAAAGAATCAGTCACCATTAATGTGGCACAAATGAAGGCCACATAATTACTTCCCTACTCATCAGTGGAGGTTCCCAAGTTCACTGAAGTGCAGGATAGACATACAGTCTTGATGCCTGATTTTAGTCTTTTTTGATGGATCAAAATTTTATTGATACCTTACAGAGTATCATGCAGTGAAGAAAAGAATGAGAATAGGGAGAAAAAAAGGAAAAATAAGTAAGCATGAAAAAGGTGGGGGGGAAAAGGGTTGAACAGTTTTAACCCTATTCTCAGGAAGCAGCAGATACAGTTTAGTTGATGAATCCTTATTCTGCCATAAGGGGAACAATGGTCTTGTCACACTAGGGATGAATCAGTCATGATTGTGATAGCAGTAGCAGATAAAAAAAAGGATGTGTTTGCAAAAGAATTTTAGATACTCTGAAAATACTTGCCTGTATTAACCAGCATGGAACACTCAAGAGCCCTGTTCCGGTGACATGCAGAGTATTTTAAAAAAGCTTTCTACTTCTACCACATCTTTGAGAAGTTAGCAGAAAGGCTGTTATGCGAGTTTTTAAAAAATGCAGGAAATCTAATATCAACATCTAAATACCTAGTTAGATTCTGTGGTTTGAGGAAAAAGGATGAAGTCAAAATGCTAGCTGTAATCTATGTGCCTTGCCACTTGATGGTGCTCATATGTCACGTCTGTTGGTGAAACGGAATGCTTGGGAGTTTTGAAAAGGGCAGAATAATGTATTTTTATTCTCTATCAAGACTTCTGAATGATCATGGTGTTGCTACAGGTCAGAACTTTAATAATGTATTCCTTCAGCAGCTTTCATACATATTTGGGTTTTTATTTTCAAAACTCCTGAATTGTTAATGCTATCAAAACCAAAACCAAGCTGTCAGTATCCCATTGTCAAGTCACTTTTGGATCTTGAGAGCAGGCAGTAGGTTCTTGAGTGAATATTTTGAAACAGTACTTTCTAATATGCTTTTTTATTATTATTTTTTAATATTACTTACTATTTTTATTTCTTAAATTAGCAAAGTAACTAGTTGACAAGTTAGTGGAATAGGAGAATCTCTGACTAATATTACTACTAACACTGATAATTGTCTTAAAAATTCCAAGGTTTCTCACTGCCATCATCAGTAAATGATTAAAGTTGCCAGGAGATAGATGAAAGGTGTTGGGGAGGTAGCAAGGAACACCTGAGAAGAGGCATCAGCTGAAGGAGTGACTGGCCTGCAGCACTGCTTCTGAGGAAAGCAGCTACTGAGATGTCTGTTTTTAGAGTAGTACAGCTGGTAACTGTGCCTTGGGCATCTGTTTAACCCTTTTGGTAAGTTAGGTGTGAAGTATTTCTCACTAGCTCTGACAAAACCGCCATGTCTTCCATTTATATTGTATTCATCATTACTGACAACTGAGTGAAAAAGACTGACTGCTTGTCTGAAATCAGCAGCAGTACATGTCTTCAGTGATTTTTATCCAGCAAAGTACCCAGAATGACAATGAGAGCTCCCATGCACAGTCTTTAAATTAGGGTGTTAAAGAACACATTCAGTGAAAAACCAGATGTCGGAATTCTCCCTTTTTATTCAGTCTGATGCAATTTTCTGGTTTTGTGATGCCCTCTAAATTTTTCACATCCAACTCAAACTCAACAGGTGAATAAAAAAGAATGTGTTTTCCAACATTCGAGGTTTGAAGATGTGAGATATTCTCTTAACTGAAAGAACTTGAGAGAAGAATGGTGTAAAAAGGCAAAAGAAATTTCCTTCAAAGCAACTCTAGTAGACTTTCAGATTTTTGATTCAAGCAAAAAGGAAACACATACAAAGAAAGAGACAGGTTTATTGCAATCTGCAAATAAAGAATAAAGAAACGTCAAAAGATTGATGAAAGGGGGTGGAACTGAAATGTAACACATTAAAAGAGGAAGGAAACAGATACTGAGGAAGTAAGACTGATTCAATAAATGACAAAGTGTAAATTGAACAGGTAGTAATTGATCAAAAGGATAAAGGGGTATGGGG